TGTGAGTGACTTGCTGTTTAGTCTTGTATAGGACTGGACTGTTTTTTCCACCAAGTTAACTTTGGTGAGCAGTCAGAAGACATGATGAACATCTTTGCAGGGTTTCATCTTAGCTCTTGCCATCTTACATCCCACACTTGCTGAATTGAAAGAAAACAATTATTAAACTGCTGCTGAGGGAGCTGGTTTTTTCTTTACTCATGGTATGAGGTACAGAAGCCATAAATGAAACAGTATGAGAATGGAACAGTAAAGAGAAAAGCAAAGGCAAGAGGAAGGATGGCAGAAGAAAGGCAAAAAAGAAGCAGAATTCAGAGGAACTGGTCAAGCAACCAAACAGCCCTCTGAGGGTTTCCATGCTCCAGTGGCTGCCTTAGCATTATAATATGATTATATTAGATTACCAGATTAGATTATTTACTAAGAACTACAGCTGTATTTGGTTAGATCATTGAAAAAGCGAGAGGTTTCAGAAATTATAAGGTTAGTGATAACAATGGTAAAGTAGAATATTTGGGATATTAAAAAAATATCAACTATTAGCTTGCATTTGGAAACATTGTCTGGCCACTAATTAGAAATTTCAGGAAAAGCATTTACATACCAAGTCTAATCTACTCCATTTATTCATCTGCAGTGTATTTTCCTCTTCTCTCACTTCCACAGAGAAAGTTTGACTTATTCTCACATGGTACTTACTTGGCAAATGTGACAATTGTTTTGGAACAAGAATTCATATGTAAGAATTCATACTCTGGCTTATAAAAAACCTTATATTTAATAAAATCTCTGATACAGGGAAATTGCTTGTTTATTCAGCTGATTCAGGAAGATCTTTGCTAAACATTTTCGTGGCAAAAGGAAAGTAAATTAAACTCTGAATACTGATATATGCTGATTATTGGCTAAATAAAAATGCAGATTGTAATTTGTGCTTTTACAGTTTGTTTTCAGTAACAACCAAATCCTATGTTCTCAAAGCCCAGTCTTTGGCATTCATTTATTTCTTTTAAAAACTGAAACAGCTAAATAACCAAAGGACATATGTGATCCAGCAGTTTTCTTGGTTGGAGGTTTGCTTTTTATAAAATCATCTCAGATTGTGCAAAGGTAACTGATGTGTATCTCAGAAGAACTGTGAAAAAAGAAGGAAACAAACAAAATGGACTTAAAACCACTTAAGGTGGAAGTTGGCTTCAGGGACAGTGCTTAACAGCTTTCAATGTCTAAAGCTGAATCATCAGCACCTAATTAGACTTTAGATAGACTTTTTATTTGTTTTATGGGTATGACATTTTTAATGTAATTGTAAAACGTGAGAATAAACATTAGTTAATAGGAGGCACAATTTAGAATTACTGTAGAAATAAGTCTTGCAAGCTCTCCAGGAAATAATTTCGCATGGCCAGGAGATAATGTGTTACTAAACTCTGGAATACTATCAAAAGGATGTGCTGAAATAGATGTTATGCAACACAAGCATTGGGGAATTAGTTCTCCATTCTGTGGTAACAGTCAGATTATAATAAAATTTTTAGAAAATAGTGCAAAATGTGCATGCTTCTAAGAACCAAAGTAATATACTGAGTGCAAGTACAAGACTACAAAGCAGAATTTTATTGTCTCCTTTAAACATTTATCTTTTGCTTGCTCTCTTTTAACTAAACAGAGGTCTTGTCTGGATTCAAAATTACAGTTTATGCAATCTGCATACTCTGCAGCTGCCTTCTCTGCACTGTCTGCATCCTGCTGAGTGGCTGTATATCCAAATATCTCCTGCTACCTCTTTGAAGACAATTTGCAAGATAAAGCATATAATCTCTATTGAGAATTCTGCCATTTGTGAAATGTTTAATGTTGTGTTCTACAGTCAGAGCTGTATATGAAACAAAAATTGGTACTATAGTGCTTTAGGATCATATTTTTTGAAAATCCTAAGTTGCTGCCAGTACCAATTATTGATATTTTTGATACTGATTATCGATACTGTAAATACTCAGTTGTTACTGAGGCTAACAGGGTTACTGTGCAGGATTGCAGATCAGGCAGTAAAGGCTTTGTCCACATGGCAAACCCACCATCATAAGGAATTGGCATCTAATAATTCAAACCAGATTTTTGGCAAAGAATTCTTTCTGCCTACCAGTCCCCGGCTTTCTGATACCTGAAAAAAAATATTTTTTAAAATGGAAAATATAATGAAAAAACCAGTACTTTGTTGAAAACACAATTTAAATTGCATCCATTATGTACAGAAAAGAAATGTCCACAATCTGTTAGTTTACTGTAGAATTAAAGTTCACTGTGATACAAATGGATGCCACCTCATCACAGGGTTTGCTCTGCAAGCTGTGATTCAAAATTTGCAGAAGATATTTTAAGTGACTCAAACAGGATCAGACTTCAAAGGAGGAAGGGAGGCAGTATCCTTCATTGCAGTAATATACATGTCAAAAGTATAAAAGCAGCCTCTAATCTGAATGCAAATTGAGAACAATTACTCTAATTGTAATTATGATGAAGGCACACAGGTGAGTCTCACCTACTGCTTTAATATCAGCATGAAGATCACCTTTGATAAGTCTGTCTTTATCACAAACTCTCCATTTTCTAACCTTTCAGACTTAAAAACAGCCTCTCTTCTGTGGCAACAATAAAAAATTGTGAGAATTTTATATATTATATAAATTATAAATAAAGGTATCCTCCATTCTGCTGCAGTATTTGCTCAGTTATCACCAAGAAGCAGGAGCACTAAACTGCCTGAAGAATCAGGCCTTACTTGATTGAATTTGGGCTACGTGGGGCTCGTGCTATGGGGTAGTCAATGTGTGAATGCTTTCTGTTTCTTGTGGGTATGGTGACAGAGTGTAGACTTTTTCTCATGCCAATTATGTGTTTTATGGTTTTCCATTGCTGGGAGGTTTTGTAATTTGTTTGGGGTTTTTGGGGGGTTTTGTTTTTTTTAAGTTGACAGAAACTCAGTTCCATCTTTTCTTTTTGTTTTCTTCTTTTTTTTTTCTTTTTTTTTAATTTGGAAATATGTTTGTAATTCTGAAGATAAAACCTGAAGATAAGGCAGCATAAAATAAGTAACAAATTAAGTGGCATAAGCCTTCCCTGGTGGAGAGAAGTAATCAAGTTAAATGCCACTCCGCTTATTTATGAACAAACTTCAGTAAACTTTAGAAAGTCTGACAGCATCCTTTTACTTAGAACATCTTTTCCTTTAGTTTTTATGTATTACTTTCGAAGGGGAAAAGAGGGCTTCAGTGAAAAAGGTGAAGAAAGCTATGTAGCTAGAAGTATTATTTTTAATTCCAAAGCCCTGAAACTTTAAGCCGCTTCTATTAGTCTTTTGCCATTTAATTATTTTGTCTATTAAATGAAAGGTAAGCATTTTGTTTTTTGCTCTAATTACAGGATTTCTGCTCTCAATAAGACAGCAGAAATAAGAAAGATGAAAAATGTTTGAAAACCATAAGACAATCTTCAGCACTTTTACTACGGAGCCATCATAACCAAGACCAAAGAACTGAACTTAAAACTTTGCAGAAGGCAGGTAAGAAATGCCCCTGTCCTCATCAGCACAGAGGCACAGCTCTCAGTCTGTGTGCATTGGACATACCTAATAGTAGAGAATCTGAATGAATGTGCATATTCACTCTCCTAAATTTTAAGAATTCATATACATGATGGTAGAAAAACACCATCCAAGGCAGCACAAGCAAATGTACCCTGGAATTTCCACATTTCAGGAATATATCCATGCTTATTGTACCATACTCTTCCTGTTAAAGAGAAAATTCAGTTTTGAGGCTTACTAGAATGATAATTCAGCTAGTTTTTAGTTCACCCAAATTCAACATTTATGTTACAGATACAGGACTATTGAGACACTCACTGAAATGATGCATACTTAGAACTGAACAGTAGTATTCTGTACAGTTCAGAACTGTAGCAGTACTGTACAGTACAGAACTTAGTACTTTTAATAAAAAGAAGTATGTTAGTTCAGACAGAGGTGGTCTTGGATAATTATCTTCATATGAGAAGGAAAGCACGATTTTAATACAGAACTGTCTGCAAACATTTCTAGTTCTTTGCATGTGGGCTGCTTTCCAGTCTGCAAATATTTTCTTTGGACAAGTGGAAAAATACATTGCAATAGAGTTCAGACGAAGGAAAGCCATCTGAGCCTCAATATTAAGGAAATTACTTGCCTGCTGCTGTAAGAGTGATTATCAGGACTCAGGTTTTGCATGCCAAGAATCTGTGGAATACTTATTTTTCCCTTGTTTGTTTTTGCAGGCTGAATATACATCACAATCCTACTGTTTTTCTGGTGCCTGAAATGATATGTACTCTGTACTTCCGCAGGGGAATAATTTTCGTCCAGAGGTGTAAACCACTTGATTAGAAGCATCCAGTGGGATCAATGACAGGAGCTCCTCCACTATGAGTTGTCTCATGTATCTTTTTAGTCCTCTAATTACATCAATTTTATTTGACACTGGTAATAATAGAGTTAAAATGGATTTTTCAGCTGAGATTATGTCACTCCAGAGGAGTTCAAAGATGAGCTTCTGAGTGTGACTTTTTAACAGCAGATTTGTTCTGCAAGGCATTTCCACAAAAGATTCATCAGGGTTATATTGCAACTTGGGTAATATTTCCAGAGGTAAAACACATACATACATTTAGAAGTGAAAGTAGCCTAAAATATATTGGTGTATAGAATGTGAATTTCAAAGTGAAAAAGAATAATCATGAGTAGTTTTTCATTTTAGTTATGATTCAGCAATTGTTAATGTATTTCCAAATATTCTGGTCTTTGTAAACTGTGGGAGGATTATACAGAGATAGCATTCTCTTATACAAAGATAACTTACTCTACAAAAAGATAACTTATTTTACCTTTCAATATAAAAATAAATTTTAAATTATTAATGTATAGAAGAATGTGCACAGCATATCAGTAGTGAAAAATCTACAGAGCTAAAATAAAATTTTTCCAAGAATAACTGTTACCAACTTATCCTGATAAGTTGATCTATGAATTTTATTTCCAGTTTTGTAAACCTCAGAAATGCCGGCGGAAAAAATGGCATGTCTTCATTTTTCATTGTTCCAGCTTCCTCTGTAGTGTGTTTTGCCTTCTTTTGGTTGTGAGAGTTATTGGAACCAATGCTTAACTGTACTGCAGCATCCTAATTTCTAGTGTAAGAATTAATTTAATTATTGAATTTTGGTTGATTAAGCTACAAATTAGAGTTAGTGCCACTAAGACAGTCTTTTATAAGAAAAAGAAATTATTTGATGTTTAAATAACTCATATAAGAAGAACAATAAATTGTATCTGACAGTGGTAGGGCTTTAGAAAACATTCTGCTAAGGTTTGCATAGTTACTTACTGGAAAATTATGTTTCAGATAAAAATGTTAAACATTCTAATTTGAGGATATTGGGTCATTCTGACTATTAAGTTTACTTGTATTCCTCACAGGGTTAAAACAATTCTGTCAGACGGAAATGTGATCTCTCCATGTGGAGCCTATTCCCATGCTTGACAACATTTAATGTGTTTGTCCTTACATCAGCCTCGTGGGTAGTGTGAAGTCCAGTGAAACACAAAGTGGCTCACCCGAGATAACCCAGGAAAAGGGTTATATTTAACTATTCTTTTTAGTTTTTTCTGCCCCGTGCCAGGTTATTTTTGATTCCAAGGATAAAGCTGAGTAGATAGAAAAGGCTACTTGGCGTGCACTGAAAAAGTCAGAGACATTCCCTGCTGACCTTTATTACTCTTCTTTCTTTTAGGGGAGAGCACACTATGCCCTTTGTACAGACAGCATGTTTGGACTTGGTTTGGGAAGGATGAGAGCTGCAGTCTGCAGCACACTGCACAGATTGCAGGTGAGCATCTGTGGCAGCAGACAGCTCTGTGAACACAGCCATTTTGATGAAAACAAATGTTTAAGCACTTTTATACATTGGTACTGTTGGAAATTAGATTCCAAGTATGAGTGACCCAAAAATTGCTGTTCAATTTTTTTTATCTGCTAGGACTTCTGCAAAGAATTTTATTGTTTGTAGATCTCTAGGGGCTTTGTGGTTACAGATCTCGATTTGTTGCTAGTGTATTAACTACAAAAACTGCTTTCCTTTTAAGGAAAAACTTCTTACAGAGGTGTCTTTTCTAGGTTTACGAAAAATACTGTCCAGCTTTACTGTAAAAGTGGTGTGCTCACTTCTACATTTTAACTGTCTTGGGATTTTCAGACCAGAAATAAAATTTCAGTTATAGTTTCATATTGATACACACTTCTTTAAAATATGCTTGAAAGTTTCATAAAATTATCTCAAGCTTTTCATAAAGTTGTAAAGACAAAGCTTATTAATTCTAAATTGCATTGAGTCTTTCTCTTCTCTCAATTATACACTCTTGAGGATGGTGGAGCTTCACTAGTATGATGCATCAAGCCAGGGGCAGTGCAGGTGTTAATTACATTTTAAAAAGCAATAATTAAATAGTTTTTACTTCACACAGAGACCATGAACTCCATGAAATAAATTAATTGAATTTAGGAGTAGGAAAATAAGATAATAGATCTGGATTGCAGAAGGCACTACCAGAAATCTGTGACTAGAGTGGTTGGAAAATAAATGATACTCTTTTCACACACCTTTTTTAATCACTGTTTCATTTAACTTTGGTAAGGGAGGTTGGATTAGATGTCCTTTTATAATTCTCTTCCAAACCAACCGATTCTGTGATGATTCTGTATAGGCATGGACAAGCCTGCGTCATCTAGTACATATCAGCTTTATCAGTGCAGTATAATTCATCACTATTTCTACAGCTCCTCCGCAGCCGTATCCTTGAGCAGTGAAAGAGAAAACAGTTCTCAGGAAGTTCTCATGACAGTGCACTAATTTTTCCAGCTGTTGTGTACTGCAGAAGTTGTTCTGCCCACTGAAACTCTGTGAATCATGTATTTCCCTCCTAGTAGGAAAAAAAAGTGACCCATCCATGGCCCATGAAAACCTTTGCACTATTTAACAGACCCTCAAAGCATGTTGTGTAACACCTGAGTTAGAAGCAGTACAGGTGTTAAGTTACTACTGGAGAAACAGAGAACCTTGCAAGGAAAGGACATCTCTCTATGGGATTGTAACAAGGAATATAATGTGGTCCATAAGGCACTTAGTTTTATCTTACTGGCCAAATGAGTAATGAATATGCTGGTTTTCACTGTGATTAAGTTTTTTCACAGTAGCTGGTATGGGACTGTGTTTCAGATTTGCTGAAAACAGTACTGGTAATACACAGATGTTTTAGTTATCACTGAACAGTTCTTTTGCAGTATCAAGCCCTTTTCTGCACCTTACCTCATCCCACAAGCCATCCTAGGGATGGCTGAATGTCTGCCTGCCAATGGAAAGCAGTGAATGAATCCTTGTTTTGCTGTGCCTGTGTGTGTGGCTTTTGCTTTCCCTATTAAACTGCTTTTAGATTGAGTCACGAGTTTTTGCACTTGTTTTCCTCTGATTCACTCCCCTGTTCTGCTGTTGGGGGAAGAATGAGCAAGCAGCTCTGGAGCTGAGTTGCCAGCTGGGGTTACACCGTGACATAACCTTTCAGGTACCTTATTTCACTTATTTTTTTTTTTTTAATGAAAAAAGTACTTTTTTCATTTAAAAAAAAACCATAATAAAGGGAGAAGGTATTACTGTCTACGTTTTCCTAAAACATATACTGTGTAACATTGTGAACACTCAAAAAATCCACACTTGGAGATTTTCAGAAAAGAAACTTTTCAAAAAGAGACAGGATCTTGTAATGGCAACCTGAAGCCAGAAGCATCACACTTTCCAATTCTTTGTCTGCCAAGTATGCAGCTTATCTGATTCACAGTATGACTGTCCACATTTAGTCCTAAACAGAAATCCTCTGTAGTTCAAAAAAATTAAAATTCTGGGCTTTTAAAAAAGGAAGTAAAGTACGAAAGGGAGATCTCTCACAAAAGGGCTGAATTTCTCTGGGAACTGAGCAAGCATTTCTCCAGAAGATTTCTACTGAGAACAGCAGGGCTATCAAATAGCACTTTTATGTCTCTTATTCAGATAAGGCCTTTGTTCACTGTTTGCTACATTTTCCCTCTTAAAACAGAAGCTAGAGAAGGTTTCTAAACTGTACATTTGTTTATTTCTCTCTTGATGTTATCTATCTGCAATAGCTTTTGCCATTTTTTATGTGTGTGCATGTGAATATTATCTGAATGAACAAGTACCAGTCATCAGTTGTAGTTCTTATTGGAAAAGATGAGATAGGGAATGTGAATATCATCCCTAATGCTAAGTTTATACTGTGGGTTTTTTTTTTTAATCACTCTTCTTCCTTTACAGACCTAGAGGGAAAATGCTATCAGTAGAATACATTTAGAATGTGAACTACAGGCACAAAAAACTGCCTTGTTGGAAATGTCCACATTTTTTCACAGAATGAGGTAGCAGTTTTACTGTCAGTAGGCACTGATTAGAGACCAGGCAGGAATGTGCTTGGGGTCATACTGAACAGTGCTGTGTGATTTTTTGTCCTATTAGCAATGGTTGAGTCTTGCCCAAAGTCCATGTACTTCTGGCATGGATGAACTTGGACTTGTGTGCATGTTTGGGTCTGTATCTGGAAAACAGTGTACACATATCTAAACTAATCACATTTATATAAACCCCAGCTAGCAATGAATATGCAAAATCAGGCTTAAATTGAAACAAAAATCCTTTATCCAATGCAAGATTAACTTTTTGAATGATAATGACAAATCACTACTTTACTTTCACAGATACCATAACTGCCCTGGGGCACAACTCTGCAGGATAGAAAACCACCTTTTTTCAGGTTCTAGATAACTTCACTGCTGATAGGGATATACTGACATGCGAGCATACAGGATTCAGGGACAGAACAGAGTAGATGGGTATTTAATTTTGGAAGGAAGGTGGTCTCAATTCATCTGGAAGATAAATTGATTTTTTTCACAGTGGTCCAGTAAACATATTTTTAAATCAGTCTTTGTTTTTCAATTTAGTAAACTCTGTCAAGCTAACAATAAGTTTGCATAGCTGCAGTGAATCAGTGGTGGATTAAATTTGTGTATAACAGAAATCACTGACACATACTAAGAAAAAACTTTCTCTTTCAAAGACAAACAAAAATAGTACATATCTTAAAATCATACTGAATTTGCCCTTCTGTGAGTTCCCACCAAGTCTTGTTACAAATGTTTTATATTAGAAAATAATAAGTTGGAGAATAAAATTGGAATTCTTTTGACTTTTTTTCCACTTTGTGCTGCATGTAATGTAGGGCACAGTTATGCTTTCTGGCTAAGTAAATGCATTTCTGAACCTCAGTTCTGTCTAATGAACTAGCAGAATACCCTACTAATAGATTAACAGAATCCTTTATGTTGGAAAGGACGTCTGAGATCATCAAGTCCAGTCCTTGACTGATCACTGCATTGTCAACTAAGCTGTGGCACTAAGTGACACTTTCAGTCATTTGTTGAATGCCTCCAGGGATGATCACTCCACCACCTCCCTGAGCAGTCCATTCCAATGTATAACAGACCTCTCTGAGAAGAAATTTTTCCTAATGTCTCAATTCCTTTTGATGTCCAAAACTGGCACACCATCTTGCTTTCTATTTATGACACAAATCCATATTGGAAAAGAGTCAGCCCACTTGAGATAACTTGATCTCCCCCTGATACTTGTCGTAAATTGTGTCTCTCCTGAATTCCAGCTCCAAGCAACAGCACAGTGCCTGATTGCAAACATCCCTGCAGCCAGGCTGTGTTTGGATGCCACATACCAGCAGGTTAGGATCCTGGCACTCATAGCTGGTTGGATCATGCTTAGCAGGCACTGGGAACACACTTTTAAACTGTAGTTCCCTTGTTTGTGGTTGTCTTTGAAACTGAGGAGAAATTCCTGAGACTACAATGTATGGTACTATTTTAAATAGATGAGAATCTGATGGTGTTACAATAAATAATGTACTTTTGGTGCGTAGTTTTCAGCCAGGTTTGGAATCGTATTGTTATTACATTGGACATTCACATATTTACTTACTGCATCCTTTCATTCTAGAAGCTATCTTCCTCCAGTAATAGATTTTAAAGGCATCCTTCTTCAAAAACAGATCAGCAGCCCAGGATAGCTTTATTTTCTCTGAGCTGCGCCTTCTTTTATGTGGGACCTGACTAAAAGTAAGTATTTCAGTTGTTTTTAAAAGTGCTAAAATTATCCCTGTAGACTGCAATGTGCTTGCACTCCATATACTGCAATAAAGCTTTAGCAAAAGAGCTCAGAATGCAACAACAATTTGTAGTGCACTGTATAAAGTACTGAATGCTTTCATAAAGGTAACAGCATTCACTTATGCTTAGACAAGCTCATTTTGACTGCTGACCTGTAAGATGAAAGGAGAGGTCCTCATTCTCTGTTGACACCTAAAGAATTATATAGTTTCAAATGTAAAAAAGTGTTCTTGATCGTTGTTGGCAGATACTATATGTTTGGGTTTTTCTGAATATTTGGTTTTTTTGAGTGGAAGATTTACGATTGGTTGAGGTAAATCATACATTTAGTAAAATGCCATAGTCATAACATCAGTGTTCCTGGTAAGTGAATTTTACTGACAGTATTGAATCATAGAATGGTTTTGGTTGGAACAGACCTTATAGATCACCTAATTCCAAACCTGCCATGGGCAGGGACACCTTGCTCTAGACCAAAGCTCCATCCAACGTGTCCTTGAACACTTTCAGAGGTAGGCAGTCCACAACTTCTCTACCCAATCTGTTCCAGTGCCTTCCCACTCTCACGGTAAAAAACTTGCTGATATCCAGTCTGAACCTATTCTGTTTCAGTTTGAAGCCATTTGCCCTTGTTCTGTCACTGCACACCCGTGTCAAAAGTCCCTCACCAGTTCTCTTGGATTCCTTCACCAGGAACTGAAAGACCACAGTAAGGTTTCTGCAAAACTTTCCCTTCTCCAGGCTGAACAACCTCATCTCTTGGATTCCTTTGCCAGGAACGAAAAGACCACAGTAAGGTTTCTGCAAAAATTTCGCTTCTCCAGGCTGAGCAGCCTCATCTCTTGGATTCCTTCACCAGGAACTGAAGGACCACAGTACGGTTTCTGCAAAACTTTCCTTTTTCCAGGCTGAACAACCTCACCTCTTGGCCTGCCTTCATAGGAGAGGGACTCCAGCACACTGATAACCTTGGTGGCACTTCTCTGCTCACTCCAGCAGGTCTGCATCCTTTGTGGGCTGTGGATCCCAGAGCAGATGCAGTGCTCCAGGTGGGCACTGACAAGGGTAGAGCAGAGGGGCAGAATCACCTCCCAGCCTACTGCTGCTTTTGATGCAGCCCAGGCTGGTTCTCTGGGCTGTGAATGGGCATTTCCTCCCGACAGCAGGATGCAAGATGATGAACGACAGTTGTATGACTAGATCAAGAAGTGTGAATGTTTTAATATGATCTGTGTGATTTTTTGCTGTTTTTTCTGATTATGGTTACATCAACTCAACTTTTGGAACCATTATTCCTCTCTCATGCCTATTATAATAGTAGGTAGATGGTAACAGTGTTAGGTGAATTTAAAGCACTTAGAAATCTGAGAGAATGCTGAATGTGGCAAAGAGTTCTTTTTGTTGCAGTCAATACAAAATGAGATGGCCTTAAAAACAATGCCTTTATTCTTCCTTGTAAAGATTAAAGTGCATTATTTCAAACACTTGAGTGCTGCAGTTAATCCTAGCATATGTACTTTAATGCTACTGAGGATGTTTCTGTAATCTAGTAATTAGTAAAGCAAAGCTTTAGTTATCTAATTGTAGTTGATAATTCCAGACTTCTAGTGATAGTGATAAATACATTGTGGAAAATGCAGTGTGGGAGCTTTTGAGAGCTTTCATTTCTTTTAAGGAGGGAGAAAATGCAAAAGTCTGGGTCAGATGTTTAAAGTTTGCTTGGGCACAGCATCTTGAAGTTCTGGATGCTTCATGTTGTATGCAGCATCTAACAAAAAGGATATAATGGGAAAGGTAGGGAAACCATTTTTGGGGAAAAAAGTAGTTGTGTATCTCAGCATTTCTTGGTGTACCTAATTATTTCTCTTTTATTTTTTTTCTCTTGCTGTGTCTGCCCAAACCACCCTGAATTAAATGTTTTCCACATATCTCTTCATGGTGAGAAAGGCTGAGACTTGATAAAATTGTTCCTTAAGATAAGTGTCATGTGTTTTCTCCTGTTTTTCTTTGACTGTGTTCTCTCTCTGTTTACAATCCAATTGTTTTTCTAGATTTTGCCTCAGTTGTTTATTTTGTGGAAGCAAGGAATTTATGCACTCCCGCACATAAACATCTGCTCATCTATCATTATGCTGAATTCAGTATTACAGTCAGCACTTTGCATATGCTTTTATGCTTGTAGTCTCTCATAATTTTTATCTTCTCATGTCTCACATTCTCTCTTTAATGGATTGTCTTTATTCTTCCTTATTCCTCAGGTTTGTCACGAGACTCTTAAGAGTTTTGTGTTTTTAATAGAGTTCTGGCTGTGCTAAGTTCAGAATGCTTTTATTTTTGTACTGTCTGGTTTTGTGAATTTTTTTCATTGTTTTGATAGCTATGCTTGTACAGACACTTTAGAATATTTTTCTTAAGGAAAAAGCTAAAACAAACCTGCCTTTGTCTCCCTAATATACTACTTAAAATACATAATCACATAATGTATGCTCAAGGTAGGAGTTACTGATACCAACATCACAACTAAATTACACTTTCCATGTTTATAATTAGAGCAGATACAGAGATGTGTCCTAGGGATTGACCCTACTCTGAGTTGGTTGATGAGTAAGAAACTGGGAAATGATATCTTCTCAATGTCCAAAGTGGGATAAAATCCCAAAGTTGGATGGCACTGAAATAGTACTGGTTCTTGCAACACGTCAGGCTCCAACCCCACCCCTTCTGAAGTAGTTTTCATGTTTGTTACAGTATAATTGAAGATTAATTGCGTGGAAGAGTCAGACGGAAAAGGGGCATGAATCTGTGGCCACATGGTCACTGGAGAGTAACTGGAAATACTCTAAATCTCAATAATGTACTTTGTTTAGTAACAGTTCTTGAAACAGCACCAGGTATAAAATTTTTTCTTTTATTTCATATTTCAAGTTTTATTTTTAGAATGAAACTGTTATCAGTGGCTGTCAACTCATGTGTTTCCTGTGGTGGAAACATTTTTCAGCCCTTTGATGGGAAGCAAAAGAAGCCTCATTAGCAGGGGAAGATGCTGAGCCCATGCACTGAGGTCTTCAAGGCACTCTGGGTAACTCCAACACCTCTGAGTGCTCCAGTCATTCCATAAGCATTTAATCTAATGACACTTTAATTAATTACAGACCTTGAAACACAGACCAGAAGAAGGGCCTTGTGACATTAAATCCCTTTGATGTTCCTGCCAAGCCCTGAATCTCAGGTGTTGAACGGGGACTTGGCAGTGGTAGGGAGCCCTCAGCTGCGAGGTGAGACCCATGCTTGGGACCTTCACTGGGGGAGGAGAACCTGGAGCGGTGTCTGTGCCTCACAGGAAGGTCCTACCTGCTGACCCTCACCTCTGGCTCCTGGGACTCGCTGCAGGGCTGTCCTGCGTGGAGCTGGTGTTAGCAGACTGGCTGCCCTCGGGAAGGGAGCTGGTTCTTAGCAGTGCTAAAAGGCCACCCTGGCACACAGAGGCACATGCAGGAGGATTACGGTGCAGTCTGAACTGGGGACAGTGGGCACCTCAGTGCCATCAGAACGAACAAACCTGTGATGCACAGAGCCCTTTTGAGTGATGCCTATCAAATGCACAGCCCGTGGCACTTTGTGGCATTTGGCTGACTGCAAGGTAAGGTGCCTGCTAAATACTGTTTTCAGGCTGAGTAGATAATTCCTCTCTGAACACTTACATAAAGGACCTCTCTCTTCCCTGGATCCAGCCCAGGTTTGTATTAGCTGTTGTTTGATGGCTACATACCTCCTAAGGGTTACATTTTCTCTAAAGGAGACACACACTAATTTATTCAGAAAAAGTAATCTTCCATTGCCTCAATACAGGCACGCTCTTTTATTATTGTCCCTGTGAATCTCCTCAAAACTGAAGCGCTTTTAAGTAGCTCAGTCTTTAAATATCCTCTTTTATTCTCATTCAAGAAATTCTGGTTTTGATAACAGTCAAGGATTAATCCTAGATTTTAGTTTTTCATTTCAGCTAAAAAAAAAAAAAAGTCAAAGTAGAAATATGGTAGTTTTTATTCCTTTAATTATGGGGGTATTTCCTGACATGGAACAGTGAAATCTGATTAACAACATATAATCAAAGAAAAATAATTTTATCTTTGATTTTACTGTTTTAGCGATTCTTGAAGTAAAAATACACCTCTGTGTATGATTTTGCTCACCCACTACTTTTAAGCCTCAGTAGGAGCTGCTCGTGTTGTACAGTCATCAGTATTTTGCCTATATTTTTATGCATGCAATTTGTCATCAGTTTATGCCTCTTTAAGGCTTGGCCGTGATTTCTTAAAAAGTCTCTTCTAATTGCAGTGTTCAAAGACTACTTTTTTCTTCCTGAGGCTCCTTGGTAAAAGACAGAAGAAAGCATAGTGGCAGAAGTATTATAAACTGAAGCAGATGGGATTTTGGTTTTGTAGAATATAATGAAGCTTGCACATAAAGTTAATTGTCCCATAACCAAGTACATTTCTTGAACTATGATGAAAATCAACCAGATATTTCCAGGAGGAAGGATTTTCACATAATTTAGCAAAGTGTCAGTAAATAACATGCAAATAAAGAGAATCATTCCAAGCTGGGAAGAATTGGAGCGGTCAACAAATAAGCTAATGCAAGGAGTTTGGCTGGCTGATGCTTTTGAAGATGTCTAGTCCTTTCTGATGACCATGTTTAAAAAACTCATGTAAGTCAGAAACTTAAGTGAGTAATGCCAAGTACTGAAACATCAAGATTAAGAGAAGCATTGAATGGACTCATCTCCAGTCACTTCTTTTGGGAGCTGTCAGTAGCTCAGATTTGACAAATATATCATGTAAATCAGATTTGAAAAATACATCATGGTCATTTGAGATTTCTCCATTGAAGGTGAAATAAGCTTTATCAGTGCAAAAATAAATGCCTTTTCAGATGAAAAAGTAGTTTGAGCAGAGTTTTTTAAATGATATCTAGTGCAGTGTTCTGTTCTATTTGAACAGAGAAAACTGTTTATAGTTCATTATGGAGAAGCAATAAAATATGTGCTACTGTGACAGACTAAATGGTGGTAAACTTACTACTTACCATAATTTTAGGGATTAAAAAGATGCTATTAGATCTGAGAACTTCTGAACAGGCATCAGAGAATATTAATATAAACTGCAGATGCAAAATCAGTGTCTTCGGTGTAAAAAACAATAAGCATGCAAGACCTTTCTTGCTTGTTTTTATTTTTTTTTAATGTTCTTACTAGTCTCTGGACTGTCTTACCTCTTGCAGTCTTTCCCTTTTTTTTTTTCTGTCAACATGTTCTTGGATTATAACTCTTTGCCATTATATATATTTAAAACCTAGTAATTTTTTATTCATTCTTTAAGTGTGCGCTGTAAAATTGTATGCAAAATATACCATGAACCTTACATAAAATATAGAAAGAGTTGCCAGCCATAAGTCTTGCATGTGCAAGGAGACAAAGTGTTCATATCTGATTATGCTGCCCTTCATCAATATTGGTGGAACTCTTATTATAACCCAGTAGTCTACAGCCTGTATATACAGAGGGCTCTCTTCATTAACCACAAAACAGTAGTTTACAACAAATCCACCTACTTGCTTTTGCTTAAACTACAAGTGGTCATGCTTATGTTTTTTTTTCAAATACTCAGGAGTGGTTTTTCCCCAATACAGAAAATAACGCTGAGTAATAATGATCTAATTCTGTGGGAAGAATTTTTTGAAAGAGGAAATCTCTTGTGCATATGGGATAGTAATGTAATATCTGGAAGATATGTGCATGATCTCGAACCTATATGAGGGGAAGAGGGCAATTCCCACAGGTGCTTCCCTAAATTGAGATATGCAATCATACTGTTTTTGAAAGGTAATATCCTTTTATCAAGGAAATACTATCGAACTAGAGGAGATTCAGATTCCATATGGTCCTCCATTGTCTATAGGAGGCTTTGCTTCCTTAATCTCAAAGCACAGATTTAGGCTGTAGCCATACAGAGTATTTGTAAGTTCTTTCTGCAACAATTCATCCAATGTATTTTCTACCAGCCTGGACATTGTGTAACTGAATTTTCTAGACCCTTGTTTCCCTGTCTACTTCAGCTGTATGAACTTCATGCCTTTCAAAGGAAATCTGTCATTGTTTTTTGTTCCCTGCTCCCCATCCCTACTCCCACTGTTGAAGACAATCTCTGCCCGATGGAGTCCAAGTCTTCTGTGTGACTGGTGCAGAGCTCACAGCCTGGCTGACAGCAGCAACAGAAGAATGCATGGAACTGAAGGAGTGGCAGCCAGAAACAAACAGGTAGTCTGGGGACACCTCCAGCCCACAGCAGTGAAGGCAGCCCTGGGTACCTCATGACTTTTGCAACTAGTCAGAAAGGGGGGATTGGGTTTCAGAACATAGGCATGCACTTCAGCACGACAGGCAGCTTGCCTCCAGCTATAGAGAGAGTAGCTATGGGAGTCTACAGGAGCCTTATCTCTACAGTTGCTTACCCCCAACTCTACTTACCCCCAGTTTTTGTCATGTAGTATTATGTATAGGAGTGAGCAGCAAACTGTTGAAGAGACTAGGCAGTGCTTCTTGTCAGAAATAATCCAGAACTCAAGCTTCTGCTATAAAAGTATAGTTGCTTAGGGAAAAAAAAAAAGTGAGGCAACTTATAAATTAAAACTAAATCACCAGCTTCTGCTGTCTACTTGGCTTACATACCTGCCCCATTTCCTTTCTTGTTCACCTGTTGTGTTGAACCCCAAACACATACTTCCCAAAGCCCTCAAGTCCCCCTATGTCTTAGAAGACTCCAAGAAAAACAAAATTGTACCAATCAATCTGATGTGCAGTCCTAGAACTGAAAGAAGATGTACAGCCCAAAAGCAATTTTTAGCTTTCAAAAATAATGAATGTAAAAGGCCTCAGATATCTAACTGAAAGTTCTGAATACATACAATTAAAGGGCTTACTCAGATGTATGTTATTTGCTATGATCTCAGAGACAGATAGGTGGAATCTAGCAAATCTTTTA